AATTGAAATCCACTTTATGATTGTAAGTGTACACTGTTGAATTGTTCAAATTATATGTCCGACACTGTGGAACTGTCCAAGTTGAAAAAAAAAAGAACTATTTTTAAATCAACACATGAATTGTGAATTGTGGACATTAAAAGCAAATCTTTACACATCAAAATGGCAGATGAATCAAAACAAGTGCGAGTGTACAATAAGCTCTGGCAATCTTGCATGAAAGTCTTGCATGAAATCTATCAAACTGATCACTGCCAGAAAAAAATGCCCCCAAAATGCGACGCCGATGGCACTTAAAGAACACCATACTTTAGAGGCATACCTAGATTTATAGTGATTCGTGATAAATACCACGTGACTATAACACTACTGCACATATTTTGCCATTTACAAACTTTTCATAAACATGCATCTTTCCCAATTGTTACAAACAATTTTTTGTGTGAAGTATTAAATATATTTTGTTTGCTTTTGTTTAAATTAAAATTTGGTAGTTATATTTTGTGAGAAACTCATGGGGCCTTAATTTGGTCCATTTTAAGAAAAGGTTGCAGTTTTCAAGTACAATGTAGTTCTTAATCGGCTATCGTAACATACCTGACACTTGTTCACGCGGGGATAAATTGACCACGGGCACATGAGGTATACCGATTCAGCGCTGCACAGGACTGAAATCCCTTGCCTTACACATCTTTGTTTTCTTCTGCTGAAATATGAATTATCTATTTTATGAGCCGCTACTTATAAGTTGCACTACAAGCTTAAGTCAAAATGATAATTACTTCTGTGCAGCTGTTCCAAGCGTTTGTCTCAGATGCACAAGTAAGTTACTTTTCACTGTTGTTAACAAATAATAGAATTATAGTCTAGTGTATTGTTGGGCAAAAGTATAAAGCCTCATGTCAACAACAGAAAACCTAATACTTTAATTAAATCTGCAAAAAGCGTTCGCCATTATTCAGTTTTTTTTAATTACAATTATGTCATTGCTATTTTTCCCTTTGATGCACCAGAGCTATTATTTTTGAATTTAAGTGATATTTTTCTAGTATTCCCGAAAAAAAGATGTTGATTAAGAAAGTATTAAGTATGATAACAGCTGGCTCTCAATATAAAAACATTTTCAGTGTGCATATGGTCATATGTTGTTGTAACGCCATTCTATTAAACCAATTGAAATGTACCATTTGTACAGTTAGACATTACATAGATGTTCATGTATATATACATGTACATGATGTTGTATGATTACTGACGAACTTTAATCATGGTTCAATCTTATAAATCTGCTAAGCATAACATTGATCACCAGGTAATCAGTTTTTGCCGAGCAAATATTTTCTGCATTGTTGTGTTCATAGCAACTGTATGAAATTGGATCCAGGCTGATAGTTTTATGTCATTCTGTCTTCGCTGATAACGCATGGGGAACCCCATTTAATTTCATTTTTGTTTTAATTGAATTCCTAATTTACCCGATAAGCATTGCCAAAAGCTAACATTCCCACTGAATTTTCACACGTTGTGCAATGTTCATAATGAAGACATTGTATTAGGAACACCATGGTGTACATGATTTTGATTTCGCTCAGAGTACTTATTACACGGATGAATCACATTATTTCTTTTGTCAGAAGTTAATTGATTGGTTAACTGAAATATCTCAGTTTTATTTGATGTAATGACGATCATGATACATGATATAAATTGCCTTTCACGCGAAGTTGTGACTGAGAACATTAGTTTCTAGGCCAGACAAACAATGTAGTTAAGTCTTTTCACTCTATATTTCATTTTGCAGTTTACCGTCTTGCACTGCACTTTGTATCAGTTGTTTTCGAAGAAAAATTGGGTAAAAGTAGAATTTGATTTTGTTTTAGAAATGTGTGACTATTCAATACAATTCTGGATTTAAACCTGGGTACAGATCTAAGCTTCCATGTTTTCCGTGTTTTGTGAGTGTGATTTCATGTGCGTTTTTTTCTCCCTTCCCTTCCCCTCCATTTTAAAATTTTGTCTGGTAAAAGTTGCAGGATTCTGAATGATTTCCCTGCAATCTTCCCGCAATGAAGTTATTAGTATTGGTGACGTGAGTCAAGCAGTTGCTAATAAAACCCTTTTTCCGGAATATGTCCGGGATAAATGCAGAGCTTCCGGCAAATTAAATGAGTGTACCCGCAACTTGTCCGGAACTCGTATCGGATATGAATGAATTTAGAAGGGCCCTAACTGGGCTCCAAACTTACGGTGGGCACTTAAATAGAGGGAACTCATTTTCTGGTGGGCGATCCTGGCAAGTTGCAACTATCACTTCGGCACCTTTTTGGGTCTAACTTCATTGAGTAGTATACAAATATTGACTGCTTCGAGCGGTGTAGTAAAACTAGTCTCCCGAGGTGATCCATGAAGCGTTCTTTTTTCCGATGAGAAATAAGGCAGTCAAAATTTGTTTTATAACACCTCTCCAACAGATTCTGCTTGAGTTTAAGCGATAACTGATTAATTTAGTTTAATACAATTAAATTTAATACAATTAAAATTAACTTCTATTTGAATACAAAATGAGTTAAAAATTAACTTGCATTTTTCCAAACTACCATTTCGCGAATTGATATAACAACCATCTTCTGTATCTTCGTTGAATAGACAGCTGTGTCAGTACAGTTGGAAAAATCAAGCTTCCTGTTTACTTTATTAAGGAGATAATAATTGATAAGCAACCAAAAACCTTAACTTTTCCAACGGTCACTGACAAGTAGAAATGAATGAAACTCGCCTAGTATGTGGTACCTTCATATTTTCGGGACGTTCCTGTCCTGCATGCCGACCTGTTTAAGTTGATTTCTTCGCCTATCTGTGAACCAAATAAAACTTGGTGCATTTTTAAGTTGTTGACGATCACGACAACACCGCGTTGTACATGCATTTTATGACAGTTTTATTGCAAATACCTTTGCAAAATGCGAACATATTTGCAGTGTCGCAAATTTAACAATAATAATAATGTCAAACTTATACAGCGCATAACATAACCTAAGGAAATCTCGATGCGCTTTACAAAACAAACTAACTATGCTAGAAACAAATCTATTATGCAAGGTAATAATAAGCCTGATCAAATACATGAGATTTGAGAGTAGTTTTGAGCCGGTGGTCTGTCCACTGTGAATAGGAAGGGCCTTCCACAGCCTAAGTGCAGTGTGCGACATTGCCTTGGAGCCATATGACTTGGTTCTGTGTATTGTTGTAGTGAGGAGTCCCTGATGAGATGACCGGAGCGCTCGTGCAGGTTGGTATGGAAGGAGCAGGTCGCAGATGTAGTGGAGCTTGTCCCTTGAGGGCCTTAAAGTTGAGCAGGAGAATTGTGTATTGTATGCGCTGTTTAATGGGTAACCAATGAAGGTCTTTGAGGATCGGTGTGATATGATTCCATTTCTTGCAAAGAGAGACCAGGCGGCGGGCGGCAGAATTTTGGATCTGTTGAACTATTCACATCTTTGTCGGAGAGGCCAGTAATTAGTAGACAGTTGCAGTTATCGAGGAGAGAGGTGACAAAAGCATGAAGTAACGCTTGTTGAGGTAATGACGAATTTTACCAATTGTCCTCAGAGCAATAAGGAAGCCTTACGTCACGCGTTGACTTGTGGGTGCATGGTGAGGTGACTATCAAAAATCACGCCTAGGTCACGAACCTCCGAGGCTTGAGCTCGAATTTCTTAAGAAATCGTTTTACCAAAATAATGTCAAAAACACCGACTAATTATACAAGTCAATTTTCCTATTCGAGGGGTCAGGAAGCGCGCCACCATGGGTTCAACTTTTAGGCTCTATAAACCCTGCGTGTTGAGCCTGCTTTGGCATGATGCATAGGCTACTGAGTTCCTAACTTGATTGAGTTCCTATAGCTTCACAAATACCCCTAGTTCGTGCCCTTTCCCACAGTTAAGCCACATAATTTCAACAAACGTTAATCAAACCATGGAGGTAGAATTAGATGTGAACAATTATATCTATATGCTCATTAGAGACACACTCTTGGAAAAAATGGTCCGGTTATCTTATTCCTTATGATGGGACTTGCGGTTTGGCCGAATTCAATTTAGCGTGATCGGCAGACTAATACGCACAAAACCCCGAGCCAACGAGGTTTTTGTATAGAAAACTGCCGAACCACATTTTGCGAGAGTGTGTCCGTAATGGGGTTGAAGCCTGCCGGTAATGCTGAGCCATACTGCCAAAGTTGCTAATGGCATCCCTACATTTTCTCGTGCAAATAGGACCTATTTTTGGACCCTAATTTTATCAAATCTGCTCTTAGATAATAGCCCAAAATCTAGGGAGATGATCCTCGGCTATATTCGCACGAATCCATCGATTTTTAAACTTGACGGTCTCGTTTTTTACAAAAAAATATGGGGGCACTTTTTGCACAAATTAACGACTCGCGTAGAAATTTTCGAAACCCTTATCAAAATTATTGCACCCACTGTCGGTTTTATTGCGCCACTTCTGATATATCTTCTGTCTAGCCCCCCAGCCCCCCCCCCCCACCACATCGAAAAATAATAGCAATTAAATACTGTTTAAAAATGTGCTCGTTTATTCAGAAATTCATGAAGCATTTTCAAACTGATTTGATGTTTCCAAAGTGTCTTTCCCATTTGTAAAACTTATTTTTAAAAGCCCATGGGGGCATGCAAATTGTGATTTGGCCGGCGTATGCAAATTCGGGTCTTTTTATTGGACAATCTTAAACGGTAGAACCTAGGAGCCTAGGAGATTTTTGTTTATTTCCGTTTAAGAGTAAAGATTTCCCTTACAAAAACACCTAATAATTTTATATTCCCCGACGTGCCTTTATGTGCGCACCCCGCCCCCAATCACCCAGAAATAATAAAACGTCATTTCAGCTGGGTTTTGTTACTTTTGTAGTAGCTTGACCTCCCCCCGCCAACAACTAAAACAAAAATTGGCAAAATACTGACAACTTTCCAAGGTTATCAAGTGTCTCACATCTTTCGAGTTTTATTTATTTTGTTTAATTTCTTAGTCTTATAGACATACAAATATTTAAACCAATCCATACAAACAAATACAACGATTCCACATGAGGAAAAAAGTTGGGCAGAAGGCCAATGAATTTGAGAAATTAATAATCACTTTATATCATAGATGATTATTACATAAGCAACGACTACATGACTGTACACGGTAACGCCAGCTTTTTGTATTTCGCCATTTTGTGAATAAGATTTTAAAAAGGGAAGATAAAACTTGGGAATGCCCCCCCCACCAAAAAAAATTCCTAGATTATTTTGAAACATTTCAGGACTATATTTGTCTAATTTAGCTATTGTGAAAAAAATATTTGATGCGAGGCAAGTTCAACACTCGATATATATTGCGTTTATCCTTTTGTGAGGTTAGTTAATTATTAATAAGAAAATGAAAAGACATGCAAAACCACCAAGAAAAACAATTGTGCATACGAAGTAAAAAAATATAACAAGTGAAAAAAGTGCAATGAAATAAATCACAAAAGGACAAACACAAGTGTAATTTGAGTGTCACTTATACCTGTTGCAATGCATTTTGATGGATAGAAGTTCCTGAACAGTTTATTCTTAAAATTTTCCTAAAAATTAAACGTTCTTGTGTTTTCTAATAAATATACAATGGAAAGAAAGTCACGTTTTAGTTAAACCGACGTCTTGTTAAAGACGTTACATTTAAATAAAGTTTGTTACATTTCTTCAGTTTTTAAACAATAAATTAATCCTTTTTGAAATCTTTCAAAACTCTTATGACTTGAATTGGTTTTTCTTAAAAATGCACTTTTAATATCAAATTAAATTGATAGAGCAAAATTCTCCATTGTCAACTGAACAAAAAGCAAATAGAAAGCCTTAGGCGAGACCTCGTTTATAATTTACCGAGAAGATCCAATTGAATGCATTAAAGGTAAGGAGTATGAAATTATTAACTTATTGATGCAATAATTTTGGATGACCCAGGACAGATCAAAGGAACATCCCTTCTCCCAGACATGTCACTGCTAAAAAGCCAGTGACAAATTATTACCCTTACAATAATTTTTTCAGCAAGTTTCCATTATTGTCCATTGTTAACTGTCTGTTGCAGTATCCGGTTTAAGATTATTTTAGAGGCATAAATAATTTAATGAAATCAAAATTACTTTTCATTTTATTTTAGTGTTGTTGCCTTAGTGTATAACATTAATGACGTTGCATTATGCAGTCTGATTTATCATTTCATATTGTGCAAGCTAGTTTTTTTCTCGGTTTCCCGAGTTTCTGTGTGATGAGGCTGTTGGAGCCTTGGAGGGTTCATTTTCGTCCAGACAAAGCAGCCTAGCTCATCCAGTCTGTCTCAACTTTTAGATCATCAGTTTCTTTGATGAAAGCTGCAACTCTTTCCTAAGTGGACAGGGGTACGAAAACACTGGGCCTAGTAGCCCATTTGTTACTGAAGTGAAACATTGCAAATGAAGCCAATAATTATGTCTAAGCCTACCTATAACCAGGTCATGGGTAGGATCCAATGGAAACCAAACAATTCTACACATGTTTCCATTATTTCCTTTTTTAAAACAGACACGATTACTTTGTAATAATGTGCCGACGCTGATAATGGCAGGTTGCTTTGGAAACTGCATTATAACTCGCACACTATAAACAACCATTATAAGAAATTCATGTGACATTAAGATAACAAAATGCCATCTTAATCCTTGCCGATCCCTTCCAAATCGGACTTACATTGAACATAGTACTATACGGAAGGAGGGTTACACGTAGGCTAAAATCAACAAGGAAATAGTAGTTTTCGCATATCTTGAAATGCTTTCTTTTGAAATTTACGTTAAGTACGGTATACTCGTAGCCCACAAAGATTTGATCGTGAAAGTCTATATTAGACCGATCTCTGTAACTACTGCAACGCTTTTTCCGTTATGGTTTTCGTGTTCTCCCCTTCAATAAAACAGCACTGTCGGCCTTATACGTTATCAAAGGTCAAAGTAAGACAACCAAATGAGTAACTCAAAGGAGAAATATATACTTGATGAAAACATGTATCTCTGCCGATCTTTCCAAATCGGACTCACATAAATGATGTAGATTAAGTTTAAACATTTACAAAAACACGTAGAAATGTCGTATGCGATAGTAAATATGTCGCATGTCTTATACAGCCACTTTCCCTATCGCTTTGTTGATTACACTTGAGTACCCTTTCACATGCATAACCTGGCTATTGCTGGCTTTTTTGAAGGCAAACTTCTTGACAATGTCACAAATTGCAGTTATTTTTGCTGACGAATAATACTTAAAAGAAGTGGTGTAGGCCTAGAACTCGGGGGGGGATGCCTTTAACATTGTTGCTTTAATTGAAATTCAGTTATTTTCTTTACATCGATATAATGGAGTTTTTCCTTAATTTCCGTCATTTTTTTTACATTTTTTTCTGCCGTCATTTTCCCCACCATTTATCAAAATTCGCTTTCCGACTTTTTTAAGCAGTGTAGTACCGTATCGGAAGTGGCTGCCGATTATAATTTGAAAGTTTTTTGTTAACATTATTTCGGTCATTTTTCCTTAGCAAATTTTTGCATGGCATAGGGCCTAGACGTTTAGAAATTTAACGATTTCAAATATTTCTTTCTTTCGCTGCCGCTGTTAATCTTTTTACCATAATTTTCGTCTCTTTAATTTCATTCTTCCGCAATCGATTTTTTTTTACTTTGTAGGTAAGAAAAATAACACTGATATCAATATTATTTCTCTCACTAACGCTGTGATTTTTTAGCCGTGTAAACTATGTTTCGTCACTTCACTTATATGCCGCGTTGATTTTTCGGTGTAATTTTCGTAATTTTCCTGTAGCTACCTGTAGAAACAGAGTGCCGTGCTGCGAGAAGAAACTCCACGTACTATGTGATTTTCGTTGTAATTTATTTTGGACTGATTTGATTTTTGTTTCCACGTTTCGTCACATGCGTTTAGTCAAATATTTCGGGTAGGTATCGCAGTAAAGGTAAAAACAACACTGATTTTAGTTATTTTCGGCGTAAATTTCATCATTTTCTCAGCCACTTGTTGGAAGCGGAGAAGCATTTCTGTGAGAAGAAAATCCGCTCATGATTTGATTTTCACTGCAATGTATTTTACACACATTTGACTTTTTTTCTTCGATTTTAGTCGTACTCGTCAAATATTTCAGGTATAGGTATCTTAGTAAAGTTAACAAGTAACAGTGATTTAAGCTATTATTTCTCCCAATTATAGCGGTAACTTTGGCGTAAGAATTCGTATTTTCGTCGTTTTTATGTTTTATAATAATGCAAAATAATATGCAGTCTGACTTTGGATCCAATATTCCGCAAATTGGAAAGTGTCTGATGAGGGCATCCTTGTCCAGATAGAGCAGCTTCGTAATTTTCAAGTCTCATTCAAGCTTGGCGGTCCTCATCTTCTAAAACATGTCAAAAAGAGTAAACTAGCATAATTTAGAATTAATATTTAAAGAGGAAACCAAGCATCGTAAGAGGTGACATAGTATTAAAGGAATAACAAATTTAAGTGTAGGCCTACATATCCCTGGTCTCTTTTCAAGTAAACATACCTCAAGAATCGGTAATGGCCAACCAAGCAGGCAGGGTCAGTCAACCGTCGGTCCTCCCAGCTTATGGCAGCTTGAGGCAGGCTCATCCATCATAGGGCAATTCCCTCACCAGTCAGTGGTCCTCATGTCTGTAAAAAGATTCAAATGACGAAAGAAAATATCCAAATTATTAAGAAATATCTGAAAGGTAGAGCAGGGGGGGGGGGGGGAGAAATGTTCGAATTAACCCCACAAAGCAGTGCCCCATTACCAGCACTCTTTATTTGTGGGAAAACATAGAAGAGCGCCAATTCACCCATTTTGATTACTTGTTTCTGCTTATTCTTTAGGTACATGTAACTAAAAACTAACCTAATAATCAGGAATGGGGAGCCCAGCAAGCAGGTCATCCGTTCATCTGTCGGTCCTCCTCCCTGCTTCCGGTTCCTCGGGTTTCTGTTTCATGAGGCTGCCGGAGCCCAGACGATGTCTTGAGGTAGGCTCATCCTCATCTCAGTAGAGCAATTCCCTCATCAGTCAGTGGTCCTCATTTTGCTGAAAGGATTCAAATAACGAAAGGAAACATTTGAATTATTGAGCTGTATTCGTGCCAGGGCTCGAAAGGGGAAAGAAAACATTGAATTAACCCCACAAAGCAAAGCCCTGCTACCAGAACTCGTTTGTGGACGAACATAATAACAGAGTCAGATCTCCCATTTAAATTAGTTCTGTGACTTGATTGTTCCTGTTAAGAGGAGGCCTGCATGTAAACTAACCTAATAATCAGGAATGGGAAGCCCAGCAAGCAGGTCATCCGTTCATCTGTCGGTCCTCCTCCCTGCTTCCGGTTCCTCGGGTTTCTGTTTGATGAGGCTGTTGGAGCCCTGACGATGTCTTGAGGCAGGCTCATCAATCCCAGTAGGGCAATTCCCTCATCAGTCAGTGGTCCTCATTTTTCTGAAAGGATTTAAATGACGAAAGAAAACATTTGATTTATTGAGCTGTAATTGTGCCAGGGCTAGAAAGGGGTAAGATAACATTGAATAACCCCACAAAGCAAAGCCCCGCTACCAGAACTCGTTGTTTGTGGACGAACATAGAAGAGCGCCAGATCGCCCATTTTGATTAGTTCTTGATTGTTTCTGTTTAAGTAGGCTACATGTATACAAACCTGATAGTAAGTAATGGGAAGCCCAGCAAGCAGGTCATCCGTTCATCTGTCGGTCCTCCTCCCCGCTTCCGGTTCCTCGAGTTTCTGTGTGATAAGGCTGTTGGAGCCCTGACGATGTCTTGAGGCAGGCTCATCAATCTCAGTGAAGCAATTCCCTCATCAGTCAGTGGTCCTCATTTTTCTGTAAGGATACGAAAAAACACATTTGAATTATTGAGCTGTTTTCGTGCCAGGGCTAGAAAGGGGAAAGAAAACATTGAATTAACCCCACAACGCAAAGCCGATTCCACTACTCGTTGTTTGTGGAAGAACATTATAACAGAGTCAGATCGCCCATTTTGATGAGTTCTGTGACTTGATTAATTCCGCGAAGAGGAGGCCAGCATGTAAACTAACCTCAAGAATCAGTAATGGGTAGCCCAGCAAGCAGGTCATCCGTTCATCTGTCGGTCCTCCTCCCTGCTTCCGGTTCCTCGAGTTTCTGTGTGATGAGGCTGTTGGAGCCTTTGAAGGTTGATTTTCGTCCAGACAAATTGCAGCCTAGCTCATCCATGCAGTCTCAACTTTTAGATCATCAGTTTCTTTGATGAAAGCCGCAACTCTTTCCTAAGTGAACAGGGTTACGAAAACACTGGGCCTAGCCCATGTGTTACTGAAGTGAAACATTCCTAAGCATTATGTCTAAGCCTACCTGTAATAAGGCCACCTGTTACCAAATAACTAAACGATTCTACCCATGTTTCCACTATTTACTTTTAAAAACGGACATGATCTTTTTTGTCATAATGCACACGATCATGTGCCGACACCGATAACGGCAGGTTGCCAATAAGTTGTACCCTTTCACAATGTACTTTTTTGGGTGGGGGGGGGGGGGAGGGCAATTAGGTCTTTTTGAAGGCACTTCTCGACAATGCCAACAATTTTGATGTTTTTGAAATGCCGCTGTATACAACTGAAATTCAGTCATTTTCTAAACAGATATTTTAATCATTATGGTGTGATTTTTTTCTCGTAATTTCGTCAATTTCATTTTCTTTTGCTGCCGTCATTTTCCCACCGTTTGCCGAAATTCGCTTTCCGAAAACACTTGTATTTACTTCTCTCGTTGCGGATGATTAATTTTCATGCCGTTATTTTCGTCATTTTGATTTGTTATTTCCATTACCCATTTTGTTTACTTGGTGGCAAGAAAAATAATACTGATTTCGGGTATTTTTTACTCTCACTAACGCCGTGATGTTTTCCTCGCGTTATTTTCATCATTTTCCTAGCGTGTAGGCCTACACGTAGAAAGCGGAGTGATTTTTTTTTCGGAAAAAAATTTCGCTTACGATGTGATTTTCGCTACCATTTATTTTGCACCGATTTGAATTTTGTTTTCAGTTTTCGTCATACGCGTAGTCAAGTAAATATCTGGGTAGGTATTTTCATTCCAATACTGCCTAACATTTTAAAGTTGATTTCGTATTTTCGTCAATTTGAGGTTTGCCTCTTCAAAACCGTAACATTTTTTGCCCGACGTATTGCAGTTGAGTTTTGCTTAACGATTTGACATTTTCGTAGCCGCAACAATTAATTTGATTTAATTTTTTTAAATTTTGTCTATTGTCAGAGACAACAGACGGATACCATTTAAAAAAATCACACCACACAGAAAGCAATGCACACAAAGGCAAAATATCAAACATGCAACATTTACAATGAAACAAAATACAATCTACTTTTGAGTTTTTTCCCCCAAAAGTCATTCTCTCTGTAAGCATTTTTTTACTCACAGATAAGATCTTTAAATACTTAATAATGATCCGAGCTTAAGAGCTCTTCACAGAATAAAAATGTCTTTTATATAAATTTATGCAAAGTATAATTAACCAAAGTTATGACTTTTGATTTTACTACGATCATTAAAATAATGGTCAACTGTCAACTGTGCCCTCACTGCTCACAGACTAGCGAAGTATAGACAATGCGGCGCTTTTAGAGACCTTTTAGTGTTACTATAAGAGCGTATATGTCACCTTAACAGAGAGCTCATTTAGGAATTAGTGTTAATTATTAACCAACAGTTTTCTCTGTATGGCTAAACGTAACGTTAGTAACGTCCTTCCGTGTTTTTGTTAAATGGTTTAAGTTTTAATGTTCAAGTTCTTCTGAAGGAAGGGGCCTCTTGGAAATCGGCGCTACTAATACGCACCGAAGAGGGTATCCCTTACAAGTGACACTGCACCAGGCATGGTCACTGTCAATTGCCGATGGCCTAGATTTTATGAATCTTGTTTGCTCTTAAACGTTTTATACAATTATAAAGATATTATATCGTCGTTGGTGGACAACGCACCAGGCATTGCCACTTTCTGTAGTTGTTTTACTAACTTTGTTTAATTATTGTTTTGAGTTGGGCAAAGTACCAGCCAATGTCCGTATAGAGGGCAGCATTCCAGTTGATCGATAAAACATCACAAATGACTCTCAATTAATAACAAAATCGCCTATAAATTTGCGAGTGAAGTTTCTTAATAGCGAAAATAAAATAAGATACACCAGTACTTTCAAGTTTAGGGGGACAGTGTTTTTCATTAGACTGATTTTGATTTTCGTTTGCATAAAGTTAGTGTTACTTTTTTTTTTTTTTTTTTACTGTTTTTTTTTATAGAAAACTTCTAAAATCCCCATCGCACTGCGTGCAGGCTCAATGTGCGCATGCTCGCAGCGGGCTATGCTGGCTCCCTAATTTTCGTTTGCTTCATTTTCCCTAACACTGTTCATTGCACTTTGCTAAACAGTTCCCTAGATTTTATCACTTCGAAGTATTGTACACGAAATCGCGCAATTACGCAGGTACGCGGATATGCAGATACGTGGGTACGAAGACCAAGAAGAGATGAACATAGGCCTATTGTTCATTTAGGGCCTACTACTATACACATGACAATCACAACGTACGTACGTGATACATTTAATTTATCACATACGCACATGATAATATAATATTACGTACTAACGCAATATTAGTATCATTATTGCGTACATACCTGATAAATAAGTACATATTACGTACGTACATGTATTGCACATGTAAGTGATAATACGTGTATCCTTAAACGAGTATACGTTGTGCATACGTACTTAATAATTATCACGTGGGCCCTACGTACGTAATAATTATCACGTGGGCCCTACGTGATAATATTACCTACGTACGTGATAATATTCAAGTACGTGCGTGAGTTACGTACGTACGTGACAATAACACATACGTAATAGTATTATGAACATGAAAAAAAAAAATAACTCCCATGTCCCTTCACGGTCTTCGTACCAATTGAAACCGTCTCCGGTCTAGCCAAAAAAACCCCCAAAAAACAACACGAGTTTGCCGAACATTACGTATGAATATGCCTTATTGTCGAACGGAAAAGCGATAGAACGCGGTGCGGAGGTTTCTAAACGCGTATGAGAATATTTCGCCGAATTTAAATGCCTATAACATTATCCTAACACTCCTACAGACCCAGCAGCTGCTTTGCTTTGCGGATGCTGCATAATGCACGCCTGCAGCGTCTGCACCGTCCTCCCAACTTGACCTACAAAAAACCTAATTAATTGTTTGCATCACTTACACCAACGTTTTGCCCAGAATGTTGATTAGGTTTTATATTGTTTCAATTTATTTTTTAGTTTCTGAAATTAAGGTGGAGAACGTCTTTTAACCTTCTCCAGAAAGGGAGTTACATAAAACCTGCAAGTCAATGTGACAATGAAGGAGACACTGTCACAGGTTTATCATTGAAAATACTGGTGTAAATTAGCGAGTTTAATTATTCAGGGACAACAATTTGAAAAAAAAAATCCACTGGAATGCTACCCTTCAACTGTTCCACGTGCGAACGCAATGTCACTGCACGTATCAAATTCCTATGCAAATTAACTCACGTGCGAACACAATGTCACTGCACGTATCTAACGAATTCTTTCGAAATTGTATTTTCTCCCCACGTGCGAACACAATGTCATTGCACATTTCAGACGAATTTCTATGCAAATGTTATACTCAACGTGCGAACGCAATGTCACTGCACGTATTTTATAAATTCCTATATGCAAATTAACACACGTGGGAACACAATGTCACTGCACGTGACAAATTCCTATTGGCATTGCATTATTATTGAATAAAATAATCATTTTCGTTCCACCTGAATTCTGCTGTAATTTATCTTCCATGTAAACTTTTTTTAACATCCAATGCAATTTAAGGAGTTCTCTGTTTCAGGTGACAAAACTCTCTACTTTTACCAGAGCTTAAACACCTTATACACATTAATCAGAGACATGTAACGTACCTCTTTCTACTCTTGAAGACATTGCCCCTCTTGGTGTTGATCTTGGAATAAATGGTAACGATGTCTTTGTTCATACAATATAAATTGGACACAATGTGCACATTCAATTAGAATAAACAATTTTATACCGAGCCAAAATGATAATTTTGAACAGTGTAATGAGTTGCATGCAGTGAGCGTGAGGAGCACAACGACAGTAATGAAGGCCTAGCCCAGCACCGAAACAACAGCTTAAGATAAAGCCCGTGCACGCTAGGTCGCTGTACCATGGTGATCAGCGAGGCATGAATGTAACAATAGGGCTGGAGTCTGAGTGGAAATCTTCTAAAACACGTTATTTGCATAATGTGCATTCAGCACAAGCCTGGGTTAGAAATGAGAATCGGATAGAATGCTAATGACGTAATCCCGATGGGCGATTACCTTTTGGTCACGAGACTTACTTAGAGGGGTGGCACAGTTTCATAATGATCAACTTGAGTTGAAAACAATTGCCTGTTTAAATAAATTTGTGAAGGACGAAAACAAAATGTACTGCACCCACTTTTGGGGGTTGAATTTTTGGACTGACCGGTTACAGTCGCATCACCAGTATATAAGTGCTGCTCCACTAGCAGTATCTCATTCTGTTTCAATTCTGTTTCAATTCCAATTCTGTTCTATTTCTATTCTAGTCTATTTCAGTTCACCCAGTTCTCTTTGTCTCAGTTCACTGTAACCAGTTCAATCAATCAATGTGTATTAAAATATTGTTGTGGAATAAACAGTCACGATAAACACAGTCCTCAACCAAATTGTGTATCGACCTATCCATTCCCCAACAAAGTGGGCCCCCTGATGATGTCATCTATGGGAGACAGAAATTCTGACTTGAAAATTCCAATGCTTGGTGCTTGGCGTATTTCCGGTTGAAATTTATAATGTGCCCATTTTCAAGGCCCATTGTAGAGGTTTAAGGGCTCAGGTTTTCATATTCCCCGCTCATGCAGAACTCTCAGGCTATACCATTTTGGGAAAACAAATTATGTGAAGGACGAAAACAAAATGCACTGCACCCACTTTTGGGGGCTGAATTTTTGGACTGACCGGTTACAGTCGCATCACCGGGGCACTTGCTCAAATAAAAGGCATCTTCCGTTGGTGTAGCAGCGTATCCAACTTTGGGGGGGGGGGGGGGGGGGGGGGGGGGGGCACATACGTGCTGAACTTGATGTCGACATGTTTTTTTCACCGGACACTTGGCCTCCGTAAAATCAAATGGGGGGGAGGGGGGCTGGGCTGGTACCAAGTTTACAAAAATTGGAGCGCTCTTCGAAACCGGCCATTTTATTCTGGTTCTGTATCTGGTGGAATATACTGCATGCATAATCTCATCAGTAGGGATGTAATATGGAGACGCCATGGTGACCGAGCAGATATTTACATGAAGTTGTAGCGTTTTCAGATGATCAATTCTCAATTATCAATTCGTCTTAATTGTTAGTTAATTATCACACTTTAATTATCAATGTTCCTTTTGAACTTTTTAATGATTAATTCTCTTGAATGCATCACTCAATGTTTTCCTTGTATACACATACACCCACACAGTGCCTATGCAATGTGTAGTCCCTATACTTTTATACAGAGCAAATGACCTTCACTGCTCACACACAAGTCTTTGGTCAGTTTCTTAGTACAACCAAGTTACTTTCAAGATCATTGTTTTAAGAAACTATATTACTCATTCCTAGTCATTTTTCTGAGACTCAAGGAAACCACGATATGACTAAGTTTCCCCATTCTTAAGTATTTCTTATTCTCAAGACTTCCTGTTTCCACCAGTATATAAGTGCTGCTTCACTAGCAGTATCTCATTCTGTTTCAATTCTGTTTCAATTCCAATTCTGTTCCATTTCTATTCTAGTCTATTTCAGTTCACCCAGTTCTCTTTGTCTCAGTTCACTGTAACCAGTTCAATCAATCAATGTATATTAAAATATTGTTGTGGAATAAACAGTCACGGTAAACACAGTCCTCAACCAAATTGTGTATCGACCTATCCATTCCCCAACAAAGTGGGCCCCCTGATGATGTCATCTATGGGAGACAGAAATTCTGACTTGAAAATTCCAATGCTTGGTGCTTGACGTATTTCCGGTTGAAATTTATAATGTGCCCATTTTCAAGGCCCATTGTAGAGGTTTAAGGGCTCGGGTTTTCATATTCCCCGCTCATGCAGGCTATACCATTTTGGGAAAACAAATTATCCGAAATTTTAGAGCAAGTTTTGTTTTTATCACGAGGGGGCCGGCACATTTTATGCTCAAGGGGGGCACATTTATGTCCGCAGGAGGGGCACTTGGGAAAATCTGGGGGGGGGGGGATGGAGTGTTACCCCGGTTTCGCCGCCCCTGGGCCCGAACTAGGGACAACTAAGACGTACTAAATAATTTATTTCACGACACTGGCGATGATAGCAATTGTTTTCTAGACAATGAAGTTCTACAACATCGTTTTTTTTCGCGACATGAAATTCACGATAAATGTATGGTGGTGTAAGATAATGATCATCGGGAATGCAACGAAATAAACGGAGTTTTTTTTTCTAATAAAGGTATACGGTGTGTGGGTGGACTATGATTGACTGATCCAGTAAGCACCGCCCCGTAGTGTTCTGACCAATCACAGCCGTGACTTATATGTCCAACGTGCTCGCACAAAAGTCACGCGCGTATGATGCGCGCGGCAGGAAAATGCAGTGTGGCATTGGATAGGAGCACGTGTTAATTTGCCCAGTGCGCAGTGGGCGGGGTTTACTGGATCGGTCCATTAATCCGGTTCGCCGAAAACGTCATACACCATTAGAGACACACTCTTGAAAAAAATGGTCTGATTAGGCCCAAAAAAAAAGTCTCCGGTTTCTGGTATGGAGCTTGCCCAAAAAGTGGTGCGGCGACGCGGCTTTTTTGTTTTATTTACCTGACTTTTTTGCTTCAAATGTCGGCTGATGACTGCAAATGGTGCCTGACTAAACTTAGTGCAAATATTTGGGAGTCCAGAGAGGCCACATAAAGCTTATTCTCGATCATAACCCCATCTGAAAACACGTTAAAATTGTGCAGCAGCAGAATTCCAGTCAAACCAGTGAATTTGGCGGTTTTAATACATCATCTTTCATTGAAAAAAAAACTTTTTCACTTTGCCGACGCGCATGGCTACGGCGACTCGCGCACATACCAGAAACCGGAGACTTTTTGGGGGGGGGGGGGGGGCCTTAGGCCAAAAAAAAAAAAAGTCGGTCTCTGGTCTGCGCTCGCGTCGATTTTAATCATGCGCGTCAATCTTTTTTTTCAAAATGTTCCGCGGTAGCTCCAACAGCGCCCTCTATTTGCCGCATCTCCTCCTCAATTTTTTTTTTTACCAAAGAGCACCAAGGAATGGGAAATTGCACCAAGGCAAATGATCGAAAGCACCAAGGCAAATTATGGAGGACACCAATGTACATGAAGACACCAAAAAGCAAAATAGTACCCACCTTGTCTGTACAATCCAAGCTTGAAGAAAAAAAAATACAAAAAAAAACAAAGCCGCATCGCCGCGTCAATTCCGGAACTTTGGTCTGACCAGAGACCAAATATTAAAAAAAAAAATTTGGCCTATGGTTAACTAATTCCTTATGATGGGACTTGCGGTTTGGCCGAAGTCAATTGAGCGTGATCGGCTGACTGATAATGTTTACGCACAAAACCCCGAGCCAACGAGGTTTTTGTACAGAAAGCCGCCGAACCACATTTTGCGAGAGTGTGCCCGTAATCTTCGTCCTAATTTGATGTAATTAAGTTTCTGACTCATATATAATGTAATTATCATTATGATTAGATAGGCTATTTGTCTAATTTCAGTTTCAAATGTTTTCTTTGATACAGACATGCGTTTGGCTGCAACTTCAATTCAAGGCAGACAAAACAATGGCGGTTTAAGCATAAGAAATCCACGTGAACCCGAATTCAAACTAAGTTTGGATGCTGTACAACGTTATTTTCATATTTTTTTCCTTAGTTTGAATATTTTCAGACCAAAAACTGTTTGCTTCTTTACCTTGGTGAAGCCATCTGCCTTTCAAGTTGCCCAAATTACGAAGAAGTTGCAGAACAGGCGTAAAACATGGTTCCTCAATGACGGTCTATCAATAGTCCACGGCTCTCCACGTGCGCCCTGCGCATACAGCCATAATAGCTGCCGCATAAGGCCTTTTACATGTAGTTGCTATCGCCCTCTACTATCGAAGGCGCGCGCGCATTCCACACGCGCTTCAAAAGTATACATTCTATCCTTTGTTCTTTTGGGCATGTTTTTCCATGCACCGGGCGGAGCAATACCGAGCATAATTATAATGGCGACAGTTTAAATCAAAAACACGTAACTAAAGGTCCTCATAATACTGTTTTTATTTCGTGAACAGGTCGCACGGCGCATAAGCTCACAGTTGTGAATCCCGAATGTTAAACTAATGTCATGAGACTCAACTGTAAGCTTTCTATTTAGAGGGACAGGAAATATTTTTTACTTATGTAGGCTATATTTTTTTCTTCTATTATGTTACCTTAAAATAGCTAAGGTCCATTAACAGTACAGTTTCGGCTTAGTTTGATATTATTGTTGTTTTATATATTGAAACAATTTATTGTTGAAACTAAGACGCAATGTTTAGAATTTTTTTGATACAGTTTTTTTTCAGATTTATTTGGTTCTTTAATTCAGATTCATATACTGAATGAAAATATCAGAAAAAGATCTAACTGAAGGATTTAAAGAGAGATAGTGTTTATTCGTGTATAATTACTGTATATAGTCCGTGATAAATGAATTAACTAATTGTTAGGGAAAAAAAGGAAGTTTGTTAGTTTGTTAAAATAGCTTAAATTCAAATTAGTAAATTGGGGTCCCATCAGTAATTTTTGCCGGTATTTTGCTATGTGTCCAGACTCCCCGGCCGGCCGGGGCCGAGCGGTTGACCCATTTTTTGACCGAACCAGAACAGCGCCCCCATGTGTCAAAAGTTAAACTACGCATATTGTGCAGCATTCAGCAGCAAGATCCAGTGCCCCAGTGGTCGAAAAACATGCCCAAACAAGGCTTTCTCACCCCAAAGGCGATTGCCAATAGGATCAAGTCTAAGGGTCTACAAAAGCTGCGATGGTTTTGTCAAATGTGCCAGAAACAATGCCGAGACGAGGTAACTTATGACGTGTTAACATTACAAGTAAATGGCTATCCTACATGTACAACAGATATGCGTTGAGATACGCGCTGTTCACACACACACACCGTAATTTCATGTGGATTTGCAGGTCAAATAGTTAGCCCAGGTGGACTCCCTTTCCTCCCTACGTTACGGAGGGAGTCCAGGGTATGAAGTGCTCAAAACCGGGTGGAAAAATTTATGACCAATATTTTCAATATTTTTACCTTGTTGGAGAAGCCAATTTTTACGTCGTCGTATTCTATGTGTCCTTATCTAATCTATTGCTGGGCCGCTGGGTTCAGGAATTCCATATGCGATGCTGACCGACCTTAATCAGGAAATTAATTCTAAAGCAACGTTAAACTTTTACGTGTTTGTAGACTCTTCATGCTCTTTTCATCAGTTTCTCACCGCCGAGTCTATTTTAGTCGTACATGACGGTAACAGGTCATCTCGTACCTTGGGCAACTCGTACCTTGGACAACTCGTACCTTCAACTCGACGTCATTATACCGAGTCGTACCTTGGACAACTCGTACCTTCGGCAAGTCGT